TAAGCAAGTTAAGTCTAATTTATGGTTCGTAAATAATAATAATAATGTAAGCAAAGATGTAATTCATGTTTATAATAATCATAAGCTAAAAACATTAAGTAATTATCAATACAAGAAAAACTGGTTAAATAATGGACCACATCCACAGTGTGATACTATGCAACCAGTAGAAATGTTAAACATACATAAAAAGGCATTTGATACTTCATTTCAGTGAAATTGATGTTATAAAATAAAATAATATGGCCCCATTATTATAAATTTAGTTACATTTACAAATGTATACAAAAAAGTCTAGAAGAATTTTCGTGAAAATATTAACTGTGATTAGCTCTGGATGTTGGGATTATAAATTATATACTTAATATATTGTAATTATATGTATTTCAATTTTTTACTATGAGCATTTTACTTTTATAATTATAAAAAGAAATAAAGGATTTTTTTTTCATAAAGGACAACACATAGTATTTCCTGAAAGAAGGAACAGTATTATTTAGCTACAAATTAAAGCTTTCTTAGCAAATGACATAAAAACTAGTATACATAGATACAGTCCCATAGAATTCAAAAGAAAAAGATAAAAGCATTTGAAACAACTCTTAATAAGCTAAAACAGAGAGATTAACACAAACCTTTCTTAGTTTAGGTAAATCTGAGAAGCAAACCATATTTAGCATGGCCATCTTCAATTTATTTTCTGAATTTGTCCCTTTGCAGGTATAGAGCAGATTCAGTTCAGTTCAATGTAGTGAGTGAGTCATCCATCAACTAAAATCCATTTCCCTTTCTGCTTATCCTTGCTTCTAAAACAGCACCGTCCAATAGAACTTTCTGCAACAATGGAAATATTCTATCTGTGCTAGCCAATAAGGCAGCCAGTAGCCAAATGTAGCTATTGAACACTTGCAATATGGTTTGTGTATCAGAGCGATGAATTGTTAATTTCAAATAATTTTAATAAAAATGTAAAGAGCTACAGCTACCTAATGGCTGCCTTATTGGACAGCACAGATAAAGAATGCTTATAATAGTCCTGATAACACACTGCAGTCTAGAAGACTAAAGTCATGAGCCCCAAATTAAGCTGAGTAAATGATTCCTCCATAACTCAGAGATGTCAAATTTAAAATGACAGGAGATATTTGTGTGCTGTTTGTACTGTAATTTTTGCCACTGGGGGAACCCAATAAAATGTCATTGTTTTTTGTGCAATAAACCATGTTTCTAGAACCAAAAAAGTCTTTCTTACTAGATAATAACGTCTTGGTCATCTGCCTTAATAAATGGGTCATGTCCGATTTCATAGATAGATCCTGATTCTCTCTCCCATGTTCTGTTATTAACAATTACATTGTATTTTAGGTCATTAGAGGTCTCTTCAGAGCTAGTGATCTGGCAGGTTGGGCGTAACAGATAGATATTGCTTCTCTGGGCTTCTTTGCCAACAATAGCTACTTCTCAGATTAAATACAGACATTTCACCAGGGACACATATATATATATATATATATTTATATTTTTTATATTTTATATTTATATTTCTATATTTTATATAAATATATATATTTTTTATATTTTTATATTTATATATAGACACACAATATATTCATGTTTCTATATTGTGTTATCTGAATTACATACGTGTAACACATAAATTATTAATAAACTTGAAAATTGCTCAACCTCACTAGAAAATACACATTTAAGTGAAATATTATTTTTAACTATCAAAATGCAAAATTTTCAAGATTTATAATACCTTCTTTTGGCAAGGTAGGGAGGCACTGTTACTCTGTATCCTGTAGGTAAGAATATAAATGGATACAGCTATTTAAAAGGCAATTTAAATCTATCAAAATTAGCATAGCCTTTCTGCTTCTGGATACTTGAAATATTCACTTAGCATGCACACTCAGAGACACACCGCACATGCTAGGATGTTCACATGGCACTGTTGGTAATTATACAAAAGCAGCAACAATTTACATGTCCGACAGAGGAATGGTTAGCTATGGTACATCTATATCATTCAGCAATTCAGAGAATAAAGATCTCTATGAACTAATAGAGAAAGGTCCCTAGGTCATGTTGTAAAGCAAGTTATAGAACAATACATGTATCACATTTATCCTGCTAAAACCTACATTTTATAAAAATATCTAACGAGAGGGCGGGCGTGGTGGCTCACATCTGTAATCCTAGCACATTGGGAGGCCGAGACAGGCGGATCACCTGAAGTCAGGAGTTCAAGACCAGCCTGGCCAACGTGGTGAAACCCAGTCTCTATTAAAAATACCAAAAATTAGCCAGGCATGGTGATGCATTCTTATAATCCCAGCTACCTGGGAGACTGAGGCAGGAGAATTGCTTGAACCTGGGAGGCGGAGGTTGCAGTGATCTGAGATGGTGCCACTGCACTCCAGCCTGGGCGACAGAGAAAGACCCTGTCTCAAGAAAAAAAATACACATACACACACACACACATATACATATATGTAATATATATGCATATATATATATATTTAGCTACAATTGATTAACAAAAACTTTTCCTAGTTGAGGTAAATCTGAGAAGCAAATGATGTTTAGGGGAAGTGATACCATGGACACCTCTAATTTGTTCTTTGAATTTGTCCCTTTGAGGGTGTAGAGCAGATTCAGTGAAGTTCAGTACAGTGGATGAATTGGCCATTAACTTAAACCCATTTTCCTTTCTGCTTATCCTACATAGAAAAAAGTCTGCAAGGATACATACCATACTGTTGTGACCACTGATGGTAGTCATCACTAGGGAAAAACGGCAGGTTTGAAGTGAGAAGGTAAAAGGAGATTTTGTTTGTTTGTTTATTTAAGACAGGGTCTCACTCTGTCACCCAGGCTGGAGGGCAGTGGCATGATCTAGCTCACTGTAACCTCGAACTCCTGGGTTCCAGTGAACTCCTGGGTTCCAGTAATCCTCCCACCTCAGCCTCCAGAGTAGCTAGAACTACAGGCAAGCACCACCACACCTGGCTATTTTTTATTTTTATAATTTATAGAGTTATTGAATGTTACCCAGGCTGTTCTCAAACTCCTGGGCTCAAGCAGTCCTCCCACCTTAGCCTCCCAAAGTGCTGAGATAATAGGCATGAGCCACTGCACCTGGCTGAGATTTTATCTTTTAACTTCTTATTTGAATCTTTGTTTAACCAAGAACATACTCATAAGGCCAGGCATGGTGGCTCACACCTGTAATCCCAGCACTTTGGGAGGCTGAGGCGGGTGGATCACTTGAGGTCAGGAGTTTGAGACCAGCCTGGCCAACATGGTGAAAC